CAGACTGTAGAGATAGGTGGGGGAAAGAGAGAGGGAGAGATAGTGTGAGGTAGAGAGCCAGAGAGAATAAGAGTGAGAAGGTAAGGGAGAAATGTGAACTCCGGGAGATAATCCGTGCTCTAATTTATGACAATGCCGAGAATGGGGAGAGCGGGGTGGTTCACCAAAAGTAGCTCCTACCTCCTCCAAGTTTTCATAATCGTGATCAGCAGCTTCCAGCTCTCTCTGAAACATCTCGGCTACAATCCGATAGGTAAACTCATACTGATCCTGTGAGGAGGAGACAAATTACTCAGTGGGGGGCGCTGTGGTGTGGTCGTCTAGCTCTTCATTGGCCTAGGGAGTGTGGGTGGAAAACTTGGGCACTGAGGGGCAAGGGAGGGAGATGATGGGGACAGTGTAGTGAGAGCTAACCCTGTGCTGTCCCTGTCCTGGGAGTGTTTGATGGGGGTGGGGGGAGCAGTGTAGAGGGAGCTTTATTCTGTATCCAAACCCCCTGTCCTGGGAGTGTTTGATGGGGGAGACAGTGTAGAGAGAACTTTATTCTGTATCTAACCCCGTGCTGTCCTGGCCTTGAGCGTTTGATAGGGGACAGTGTGCAGAGAGCTTTACTTCCAGTTTAAAAGAGTAGAGGGAGCTTCACCCTGTACACAATGGTGCTGGGAGGTGGGGGCCGGTGTTGGGGGGGGCGGAAATCGATGTCCGCACTCACCTTAGTCTGCACGGCTGCCGGTCTCTGTCGTCGCATCTCCTTCACGATGTCCATTACGGCAAAGTCTTCGCTAATCACCTGTAACAGAGAAGGGAGCTTCAGCGACCTTCCTAATGCCTCACCTTGCCCCAGATCAACCAAGAAAGTCCAGGGACCCCTCCACTGCTAATCAAACGGACTTCAGCGATCCCTCCGGTGGCTTTTTGGGAGGGCAATGGTCTCTGAAACGTCGACATGTGGCAGGCATTGGCAGAGTGGCATTATCGCTGGATGAATAATCTGGGGATCCAGGCAATGATCTGGGGACCTGGTTTCAAATCCTGCCGCGGCAAATGGTGGAATCCAAGTTCAATGAAAATATGGAATCTAATGATGACTATGATTGTCAGGAAAAACCCACTTAGTTCACTAATGTCCTTTAGGGAAGGAAACTGCCATCCTTACCTGGTCTGGGCTACACATGACTCCATACCCACAGCAATGTGGTTGACTTAATTGCCCTCTGGGCAATAAATGCTGGCCCAGACAGTGATGCCCACATCCCATGACTGAATTTTAAAAAACACACAGGAGCAGCAGTAGGCCATTCAGCCCCTCGAGCCTGCTCCACCATTCAACAGGATCGTGGCTGATCATCCAACATAGCGCCCTGTTCCCACTTCCTCCCTTTAGCTTGAAGAACTATATCCAACTCCTTCCCGAAAACATTCTACGTTCCGGCGCTGACCGCTTTCTGTAGCGGAGAAATCCACAGACTCCCCACTCGCTGGGTGAAGACATTTCTCGCCAGTCCTACCCCGTCTCCTTTAGGCAGTGACACCCCCTCTCCAAGTTCTGGACTCACACCCCGCAAGGGAACCTCCCTCCTGTGTACACCCCTGCCCCCTCCCCCAACCCCCTGCCAAGTCCTGTTAGAATTTTATAGGTTTTACACGATTCCTTCCTCCTCATTCTTCTAAACCCCAGACATAGTCCCTAACTGACCCAGTCTCTCTTCACGCCCAGCGCCAGTCCTGAGTCCCAAATGAATCAGAAAGCAAAGGGTCTCTCGACACGACAACAACACAGCCTCAGTTTCCCGACAGCAATCGTTTCGCCACCTCACAAAGTATGTTGCCATTTGTTGACTGGAAATAGGGATTCCAGACTGGATATAGAGAGCCGGCAATCGGCAAGGCACATAATGGGAAGGGGAATGAGTTTGGGGAAATCGATACAGCGCTATCAGGAGAGTGCGGGGCAATGGGATTAGTTTGGGGATGGATACAGGGCTATGGGGAGAGAGCGGGGCAGTGGGTTTAGTTTGGGGATCGATACAGGGCTATGGGGAGAGTGCGGGGCAGTGGGATTAGTTTGGGGATGGATACAGGGCTATGGGGAGAGAGCGGGGCAGTGGGATTAGTTTGAGGATTGAAAGAGGACTGAATGGCTATTCTCTAGGCCACAGGCAGATGGGAATGGTGGGGGAGGGGTGGAAAAGATTCTGATGCTGGGTTGAAAGTTGAGCTCACCTTCCTCAGCAGCATACTGCGAACATAGTCGACGGCACAGATCACACCAGTTCTTCCACATCCCGCACTGCCAGAGAAACTCCAGATTACTCATGACCAACACGACATTACTCCCCACTTAGCTTCTACCTGTTAACCCCCTCTCTCCGTAGTCTCAGCAGCTCTGGAACCCTTTCAATCACCTGCTAGGACCCTGAATATCAGAGATCAGGGTGGGTGATCCAACCAAGGATCCGACTAAGGTATCCAAGAGGGTCCAGTGGAGGTAGATTCCATTCCTCACACACAGTGGGATATGAGTCGGAATCTCTCTCTCTCCACCCTCAACCCTGCTCCAAATGTCGAGGCTCAAGGCGGTCTGCCTCCTGTTCCTGTGTAACAGACTTGGAGTGGCGGGTACAGGCACTGTTGGAGGGTCAGCGCCGAGGGAGCGGGCGCTGTCGGAGGGTCGGCGCCGAGGGAGCGGGCGCTGTCGGAGGGTTGGCGCCGAGGGAGCGGCAGCAACGCAGCCCACTGCACACGTTCCCTGTGGCGTCTCACATCCGTCTCTCCATCTGCCTACCGATTGGGGGAGGAGTGGCTCGAAGGGAAGTTGTGCCGGTGCTATAATCTTCCCCCATCACCATTAGCTAGCCCTACCTGCAGTGGACGCAGATGGGGGACGTCAGCGATCCCTGCCACTTGTGCATCAGGTCGATCATCTCCAAGAGGGAGTCAAAATCTTTTGGAATGCCGTGATCGGGCCACGCAGTGTACTGGAACTGGACAACTGATCGCTGATCCACATCCTGATGGGGGGACAGTGTAGAGGGAGTTTTACTTTGTATCCAACCCCGTGCTGTCCCTGTTCCGGGAGTGTGTGAAGGTGGTCAGTGTAGAGAGAGATTTACTCTGTATCTAACCCCGTGCTGTCCCTGTCCCTGGTAGTGTTTGATGTGGGGACAGTGTAGAGGGAGCTTTACTCTGTATCTAACCCTATTATGTCCCTGGTCCCTTCTCAGCAGCCTATCCCCATATAAGCAGAGTTTCCCACGTCAGACAGAGATGGTAGTCCTACCGCAATCCTCCCCATGCCAACTCAGAAACCTCACCCTGGCTCAGCTCATCCACTGGGATCCCTTGACTTTGCCCTCTTTACCCCTGGGAGTTGAAATGGTGAAATTCAGAAGGGTGGGGTGGTCAGTCCAGACTTGTCTCTCTCTCCGCATCCCCCATCAACCCCACAGTATAACACAGATGAAGGACATTGATTTCATCGAGGAGTTTGACAAGGTAAATGGAGATAGACTGTTTCGTGTGATGGAGGAGGGCAACCAGGGAACTGGTGAGCAGGAGGAAGGGAGAGGACGAGGGGGTGGAAGACAGTTGAGGGTGGAGAAACGAGTTGGAGGGAGAGGGGTGAGAAGGGGAGGGGATGAGGGGAGAGAGAGAGGGAGAATGTCAATGGAGATAGAATATTTCCTGTGATGGAGGAATGGACCCAGGTTCCTGGTGAGTGAGTGGGGAGGGGAGTTTGGTGGGGGCGGGGAGCGGGGAGTGGGGACAGCATTGAGGGTGGGAGATGGTTTTTGAGTGTGGGAGGGGAGAGGGGGGAAGGGTGAGAGGGTGGGGCGAGAGGGAGTGGGGCAGGCGGGGAGTGCGCGAATGGGTGGAGGGTTGAGAAGGGGTAGGCAAGAGGAAGAGGGGGCGCGAGGCAGGAGGGGGGTGGTGCGAGGCGGGGGAGAGGGCGCGAAGCAGTGGGGCGAGAGGTCGGGGGGGGTGGCGAGAGGTGGTGGTGGGGGGGGGGGGGGTTAGTGGCAAAAGGAGGGACCGAGAAGGACGGAGGGTGAGAGGCGGAGGTGCGGACGGAGGGGTAGGAGGGTTAGGGGAGGGATGGGAAAGAGGGGCGACAGGAGTGTGGTTGGGAGGGTAAGCGGAGAGGACGGGTGAGAGAGGAGGAGGAGGGGAGAGAGGTGAGAGGGGAGGTGGGAGGGGAGAGAGGCGGAAGGGGCAGGGGTGACAGGTGACAAGGGGAGAGATGAAAGGGAGAGAGGCGGAGGGAGGGGAGGGGAGGGGGTGAGAGAAGGGGTGGGGGGGAAACGGGGTGAGAAAAGGGTGGGGGGGAGGGATGAGGGAGGGGAGTGGTGAGGGGTGAGAGAGGAGGGGAAAGAGGGGAGGAGGCGAGGGGGTGGAGCGGGGTTAACAGAAGGAGGGAGCGGGTTCAGAGACGGGTGGTGACAGGATTTTGGGGAGAAGGAGAGAGTAAATGGACAAAGGAAATGATAGGATCATGCTGAGGGAGATGAGGGAGGGGTGCTCAGGGAGACAGTTGGGAACGATATGGAAGGGGTTCAGGGTGAGGGGGAGGCTCAGCGACAGGCAAGCTACAATGAAGGGGTCAGGGAATTCAGCCTGTGAACTTACATACAGCATTGTGACTGATAGTGTCCTAATGGTCACCTCATCCCTCAGGGTCTCTTCACCAACCTGTACACAGAGAGAGAGAACTCATTAATCCGGAGATGGAGAGAGAGGGAGAGAGAAATGCACAGAGAGAGACCGAGAGAGAGAGAGAGAGAGAAAGCGAGCGAGAGAGAGAGAGAGAGAGAGAGAAAGCGAGCGAGAGAGCGAGCGACAGCGAGAGAGAGCGAGGGAGACAACGATGGGTGGAGGGAGATAGAGACCAAGAAAGACATAAACAAAGAGGGAGAGAGCACGAGACATAGACAGAGACAGAGACACAGACAGAGAGAGATTGAGGCATGCAGGGACTGAGAGAGGGGTCAGGCACAGAGAGAGAGGGGGCACAGGCAGAGGGAGAGGGGATGCAGCAGAGTGAGAGAGGCATGGGGGTGGTGGGGAGGGGGAAGAGAGAACGAGACAGAGATGGAGAGGTGGGATGTACACAGAGGGGGAGAGAGGGGGCTGCAGTGGGGCAGAGAAAGAGGGAAGGTGAGAGAGGTGCACGTGGCAGTGAGAGGGAGGGGTGCACTGGGGTGAGAGTGAGAAACGCATGGGGTTTAATGACAGAGAGGGAGAGGGGCGGGAGGGAGGCGCAGGGACGGAGAGAAGGGTGCATGGAGAGAGGGGGAGAGGTGCATGGTGAGAGGGGGGGCATGCAGGGAGAGCCAGAGAGCTGAGCAGTGGGAGGAGGAGAGCGAGAGCGAGAGCGAGAGCGAGGGGCGCAGTGAGAGAGAGTGGTGCGCAAGGGAAGAGAGAGTGGCGTGCAGGAAGAGCGAGAGAATGGTGTGCAGTGAGAGAGACACGGAGAAAGAGTGGTGTGCAGGGGGAGACAGAGAGAGAGAGAGCGACGCACAGGGACAGAGAGGGGGGAAGAGAGAGATAGAGGGAGAGGTGCGGGGGAGGGAG